TCTGGGGAAAGCTATTATCAGGGACCTCTCAAAGGGGCTGAAGAGCAACAATGTCAGTCTAGAGATTAAGGTAAGCCTGATACAGGTGATGGTCTTTGCAATTACTGGCTATACATCTGAGAGCCGGACAATGCCCAAAGATGGCAAAAGAATTGGTGTTGTTGAGTTGTGGTGCTAGAGAAGAGTATTGAATATACCAAGAGAACAAACAGGTTTATCCTGGAGAGGGTGAAATCAGGCTGTTTCTTGGAGTCAAAGATTTTGAAACTCAGTCTCATGTACATTGGGCACATGGCCAGGAGGGAGTAGTCCCCGTAAAAAGACATCATGCTTCAAAAGGTAGAGGGACAGCACAGGAGAGGAAGACCCTGGATGAGATAGACGGACACAGTAACTGAAGTAACGGGGTTAGGTGTGTCAGAGGCAGTGAGACTGGCTCAGGATAGAGCAGAGTTCAGGTCACTGTATCTATGAGGCGACTTGATGGCATATAACAACATCAACAACATGTAAATAGACCTTGAGTCCAATAAAACAAAATGCAAATGGAGGAAAGAATGATGATTTCTGTGTGCACCTCTCTAGTGTGTTCTTGAGTAGCGGTAGTGTTACAGTGCTGGCAAGCCAATAAATTCTTATTTAATTCAATGGCTAGCAGTGAAGGAATAGTGATTGAGTTGTCCTAAATACAGTGTGAATTATGATCTAAGCATTCATTGTAGATGTCTTCTCAATCAAAAAAGACTATGTCTAAATTTTCATTAAAATAATAGTAATAATTTTCTTTTTTAAAAAAAAAAAGACTATGTCATTGCAAAAAGCAAGGACAGGATAAAGTATAACATGAAGAGGACTTGGCATTTGCAAAGAGGAAATGAGACTTTACACAGCCAATAGCATACACATGGCTCTCACTGCTCCCCCTGGAGCACAAACTAAAAATAAAAATTGGGAGGCATATAACCATGCCTACATTCCAGGCAGAAAGGCCATCTGGGGCTACAGTCCTCCCTTTTGAGCATATCTTAGCAGAGGACACTCAGCTTACCCACCACCTGTTCTTTCATGTCAGCAGCAGAAATAGATCCCTGGTCCGGCTGGCTTAGGACCTGACTCAGCCTTCATGGCCCTGAGGAACTACCCAAAGGAGATTACTAGAGTATTAGGAAGCGGGTGTGTGGACGAGGAGGAACATGGAAGGAGGAGAAATAGGCTAGGAAGGGTCTGTGGCTGGCAGCCCTGCTGGAGTAGGATTGAGATTGTCTCTTAGACTCCGTCCTTGACAAAAGTCAGGAGGGGGACAGAAGCAGACCCAGCCAGGTGGCACTGTCTGGCATGTGTCTATTCTGGAGTTGGCTCATACCAGCTTGAGGGAGTCCCTGAAAGACATGTAAAAGACACACAGAACCCAGTACCTGTAAACTATTTGGGCAGGAAGTACCCAGTAGGGTGAGAGGATGTGTATAAATTCCACTCTCCTGGTGCTCCCAGCCTTTACTTGATCAATCAATAACAAGCAGTACAACCAAGCAACCCGGCTCACTTTCTAGGTGTAAGACCTTGGGCAAACTACTTGCTATTTTTGAGCCTCCATTTCCTCATCTGTTAAAAAAGGTAATAACACACAATGTTGTTATGAGAACCAATGTTTGTTTGTTGTTGTTATGTGCCGTCGAGTCGTTTGCGACTCATAGCGACCCTATGTACAACAGCCCTAAACCCTGCTCTATCCTGTGCCAATTGCACTGCCTCTGACACACCCATCCCGATTACCCCAGTCACTGCATCAATCCATCTCATAGAGGGCCTTCCCCTCCTTCGCTGTTCCTCCACCCTCCCAAGCATGATGTCCTTCTCCAAGGACCGGTCCCTCCTTACAACATGTCCAAAGTATGTCAGACGAAGCCCCAGAATCCTTGCCTCCAAGGAGCAGCCTGGTTTAACCCTCTCCAGGATGAATCTGTTTGTTTTCTTGGCAGTCCATGGTACATTCAATACTCTTCTCCACACCACAGCTCAAAGGCATCAATTCTCCTTCTGTCCTCCCTAGTCATTGTCCAACTCTTTGATGCATAACAAGTGATTGCAAAGACCATGGCCTGTATCAGGCACACCTTAGTCTCCAGAGAAACACTGTTGCTCTTGAGTACTTTAGAGAGGTCCCTAACAGCAGACTTTTCCATTGCAATACATTTTTTTATTTCCTGGCTGCTGGTGCCAAGAATGTTGACCGTGGAGCCAAGCAAACGGAAGCTGTGAACAATCTCAATATCTTCATCATCCATCCTGATGCTACCAATTGGTCCAGTGGTGAGAATCTTGAGTCAATATAATAATATATAGTGCTCGCCACATGCTGGCTGTTCAACAAGTGGGCACTCCAGAGAGGGCAGTCAAAGTCTGAAGGATTGACAAAGTAAAGGCCAGGCACCAAGACTGCACCTTGCAGTGTGCTGCCTGCGTACATATGAAATCACCCTGTTGTCGTGTGACACACAACTGTTCATCGTCACGCCAGCCCGGCAGACCTCTAATGAACATCTATTGTGTTCTAGATATTGTTGCTGAGAGACTGTTGGTGAAAAAAGTAGAAGGGAAATTAGGTAAGTAGGATTGAGAGCCATCTGTGCACCAGTCAGTGTAAGTAAGAGGAATAGAACAGGCACAGAGGGAACAATAAGCTGCGGAGGTGGACAGCAGTGAGGTCAATCTGGGCAGGCTTCCAGAGGAAGTGAAATGCCAGAATGTAGCGGAGAAGAGGAAATGCATTTCAGAGGGACCATAGAGGCCTTGACATGGAGTTTCCCAACAACATGGCACGTTTGGAGCAGTACTTACAATTCAACACAGTTTTCACAGAGTGAAAAAGTGAGAGGAAGGGAGGGGCTTGAGGTGTGAGTGACAAAAGATCTTATGTTATTGTGCTATAGTGAGTTCTTCAATGTGGTTTTTTCCCAGCCATTGATTTTGACTTTTACCACCTAGCTGAGTCAACAACAATAACTCTTTGCTATGGAGTCAGAACTAACTCATAGTTGATCCTCCATGCAATTTTGAGAGGCTATAAAGGGAGGATACTGCCCATCTTTCTACTTCAGAATGGCTAGTGAGTTTGCCTTTGGATTTTCAGCACAGCTCCTTACCAACTACAACTCTTCTGTGGCTGAATTGTTGTTGTTGTGTGCCATTGAGTCAGAACCAACCACAGCAGACCCTCCAGCAGATTTTTGGAAGCAGTAACTGCAGGAAAGGAGATTGCTTTTACTTCTTCCTTAGAGCAGCTGGTAGATTTGAACTGTATTCCTTCGAGAACTCAGCAGAGCTCATTACCACTGTTGTTGTTTGCTGTTGTTAAATGCCATCGTGTTGCTTGCAACTCATAGTGACCCTATGTATAACAGCTCTGCACCCTGCTCTATCCTGAGCCAACCTCATCATCCAAGCCACCCCACTCCCATTACCCCAGTCACTGAGTCAATCCATGTCATCCAGGGTAGGGCTATACAAATAAATGTTAGGTATCTGTGTCTCCACCAAGGGGATTGGATAACTTGTTAATAATGTTGTTGTTGTTGTTGTTAGGTGCCATTGAGTCATAGACGACTCATAGTATCAATGAAAGACCCGAGCACTATTCATAGAGTTTCTATAGGCAAGCCATTTTGGAAGTGGATGCCACTCCTGCTTCCAAGCTTGTTTTAATCGGGAAGTTCCACCAAACACTGCCCACAATGGGTAACCATTATCACATTTGGCACATCAGTGTCACAGTGTTTAGGATCACAGCAACCATGAGTTACCTCTGTATAGCAAGTGGACATACCAGTGCTATATACTTAGAAGAAGGTTAATAATGTAAATAAAGTAAATAACACATTTTAGATGTTGCTGTTGTTGTGTTCTATTGAGTTTGAATCAACTCATAGCTGATCTTCCAGCAGGTTTTCAGAGATGGTGAATCACACAGGAGGAGATTGCCTGTCTTTCTTCCATAGAGCAGCTGGGGTGTGCCTTTGGATTGGCAGCACAATTCCTTATGGTTTTGGATGGAAACATACAAATAAAGTATGTAGACCACTGACAAGGGGATTGGTCAGTTTTTCTGACTTAAAGGTTTAAACTTTTAAAGTTTAAACTGAATAAGTTCAAAGGCAGAAAATGGGACTCTCAATACTATCAAAGAAGATGAAGCTGATAGCTCAGCACATCTTGGGCATCAGAGACTCCTGGGCTAGATGAAATGAGACCTAGTGGTTCTGGCAGCAGGAGAGGTATTAGAGAACCAGAGACTAGCACGAGACAGGGCTCAATTGGATCTACTGCTCCATGGAGCCAGACCTGAGCACCTTGGCATGGGGTGGGGAGAGGACATAATTGGAAGAACTAAAAGAGATGTAGAACACTTTAGAACTGAGAGGCAGGCTCCAGAACCACAAGGCTGAAGATGAGAGGGAGGCCTGCCTGCAAGGCCACCTAAGAAGAATCTATCTTCTTCTGTGACTGAAGAATTGTACCCTGAGTTTTTTCAACCTGATTTGTAATGCTCCCTTATAAACTTCACAAATGTGAGTACTGTCTGTGAGGTCTGTGTGACCATTAGAATTCTTTTAGAATTGATGGAAGAAGGAATGAAAGGGTGGAGATGTGTCTGATCTCAACAGAGTTCATTTAGTGCTTTGTTAATGGAGATTGTTCCCCATTGTAGAGTTACTGAATGTCAGACATTGCTGCCCTGAACCAGCCACATTGTCTTTACAGTTACCCTCTAAAGTCACCAGGGTCATCTGGAAGAGGTTTAGGCCCAGCGCATAGAGTCAGCACTTCCGTACACTCTTCTACCTATGCCGGGAGCCCAGACATGCTCTCTATGTGAGAATGCTCCAATCCCTAATATCATACTGCTAATGAGTAGTTCTGTATGCTTGTGAGAGGAAAGATGCAGATAGCAGTATCTCTGGGTTACCATTGCTGGCCAGCGCCGCCACGGAACTTCCTTTTACCTGGAATATTCCTTCTTCAGAGGGCTGCAGAGACTCCCACTCGGGTGAATCCATGAACTGGTATGGAAAGATGTAGTGTAGAAACTGTCCATCTTGGCTCACCCGAACCCTGGAAAAGGGAGAGATGAGATTGTAAGGGGGAAAAAGAAATGTTGCACAAATCCATTGCATTGAGGTGTATTGCTGTTCAACATGGCTCTTCAAGCAGAGATGAACATGCACAAAACACAGTAAAACCCAGAGCAAGAATAGCTTGATTACTATATAGAAGCAATTCAGAAAGAGAGCTCATCAAGACTTTCTGAGCCTTCATTTTACTTCTAAATGTCAGGCTGCACAGCAGAAGTCCTAGGAGAAGTTTAAAAGCAAACCAAAAAACCCTACTTATGTTTTACTTTATCCCAGAACAACTGAGAAAGAATCTCTGTATGTAGAAGATTGATATTAATAGTCTTAAAAATAATCCCAACTCAACACCTTCATCAACTAGAAAAAAAAACAACAATCTAATTCTACAGTCTCTAGAAGAAAGGCAAGTGCTGAAATCAATGAGATAGAGAGTAGAAAAACAATTGGAACCATTAATAAGACCAGGAGCTGGTTTTTCGAAAGGGTCAATAAAATTGAGAAACCACTGGTAAATCTAACAAACAGGGGCAAGAGAGAAGATATAGATAACTCGATTAGGAAAGGATAGGGGTGATATCACAACAGAACCAGATGAAATGAAATCAATAATATCAGAATACTATGAAAAGCTATGCTTTGATAAATTTATAAAACCTAGAGGAAATGGACAAATTCCTTGATACTCATGTCCTACCCAGATTGACAAGGACAGATGTAGAATGTTTGAACAGACCCATAACAAAAGAAGAAATTTAACAGGTCATAAAAAGACTTCCCCACAACAGACTGGGAAAAAATATTTGCTAATGACATGTCAGATAAGGGACTTATAGCTAGAATTTAAAAAATACGTGAGCACAACAACAAGATAAAGGTAAATAATCCAATTGAAAAATGAGCGCAGGATATGAACAGACACTTCACCAAAGAAGGCATTCAGATGGCCAACAAGCACATGAAGAAATGTTCAAAATCCCTAGCTCTGAGAGAGATGCAAATCAAGATAACTATGAGATATCATCTCATCCCAGTAAGACTAGCAAAATTTTGCAGGACAGCAAGCAACAAATGCTGGCGAGGTTGTGGAAAGACTGGAACCCTTATTCACTGTTGGTGGGAGTGTAAAATGGTGAAAGGCAGTATGGCGCTTTCTCAAAAAGTTGCAAATAGAGATACCATTTGACCCAGCAATTCCACTACTGGGAATATACCCTAAAGAGACATAACCAACATCCAAGCAGATATATGTACACCCATGTTTATCGCAGCTTTGTTCATAATAGCAAGGAGTTGGAAACAACCTAAGTGCCCATCAACAATCGAATGCATAGAGAAACTGTGGAATATTCACACAATGGAATACTATGCTGCATTGAAATACAGCAATTCTACTTAGAGCATTTTAAAAAAAAAATAGAAAAAGAAAAAAGACTCCCAGAGTCATTCTATGAAGCAATCATAAGCCTAATACTAAAACCAGGCAAAGATAATACCAAGAAAGAAAACTACAGACGAATATCTCTCACAAATACACATGCAAAAATCCTTAACAAAATCCTAACCAGTAGAATCGAAAGCACATTAAAAAAATAATTCATCATGACAAAATGGGATTCTTAACAGGTATGCAAGGATGGTTCAACATAAAAAACAATCAATGTAATTCACCACATTAACAAAGCAAATAACAAGAACCACATGATCTTAGTAATTGACACAGAATAGGCATTTGGAAAATTCCAACACCCTTTCCTGATAAAAACACTCAGCAAAATTGGAATGGTAGGGAATTTCTTCAACATAGTGAATAGTACATATGCGAAACCAAAAGCCAATATCAGTGCAATGGAGAAAAACTAAAAGTATTTTCCTTGCAAACAGGGACCAGACAAGGATGTCCACTGTTGTGATTTTATCCAATATTGTATTGGAAGTAGTTCCTATGACAGTATGATAAGAAAAGGGAATAAAAGGCATCCAAATTGGCAAAGAAATGGTTAAAATGTCACTAAAAGCTGATGATATGATAGTCTACACAGAAAAAGCCAAGAACTCAACAAAAGACCTGTTAGAGCTAGTAGACCAATATAGTCGTTTATAGAGTGGCAGGATATAAGATCAGTATCCAAAAATCAGTGGGATTCCTCTACAGTAACAAAGAGAACTCAGAGAACGAAACCAAGAAAACCATATCATTTACAATAGCCAACTACAAATTGAGCGACTTGGGAGTAAACCTAACTAGAGACACAAATTACCTACACACACACACACACACACACACACACACACAAAACAAACAAACAAACAAAAAAACCAAAACACACAAAACCCTACAGAACGGTTCTGTGAGACATAATAAAAGACCTAAAGAAATAGAAAAAATGTTCCCTGTTCTTGGGTTGGAAGACTCAGTATTGTGAAAATGACAATCCTACCAAAAGAAATCTACATGTTCAACATAATCTCAATACAGATAACAAATTCATTATTCAAAGAAATTGAAAGGGAAATGGTCACCTACAACCAGGAGAAGATAACATAGATGAATGGGATCTTCTAAGACTCAAATCCCTATGCACATCCAAAAACTTCTCCAACAGGGTAAAAAGGG